AATTGCTCGGTTTGTTGAATTTGCAATACGTATGGACATTTTTGCTTGGAATTCATCATTCAATAGAGTGGTACAAAACGTTCACTGTACCATTGAAACGGTCTATTTCCATATTTCTAAAGGGAGCGAAATTTTCCGGTGAGAAATAGGATCAATTCGTAGTAGAGGATAATGTTTCCCACGTCCATAACTGTAAGTTACTTACTCAAAACATTGAATTATTATATAAATTGGTAGTCGGTTGTTTTTGGAAATTTCCAGTTTGATTTTTATTTAAAGTAACTTTGATGTTCCTGAAGAAATTAACCTATCAGAACCACTTGCATAAAAAGATTCTGTATTGTTATTTATTGTGAAGAAGCGAATCCAAACAAATATTTGGTGTTTTTTGTTTCATTGATTGAGATTTTACATTTGAATTCAATACTACCATTCCTTTGGTTGGATTAAAATTTTAGTTCGCATTCAAGGCGTGTGTTTTGAGTAGAAGAATGTACTAGCAACTTTTTATGTGGTAAAGAGAAATATTAGATGAAAATCTAATTTGGCATTGACACCTAATCACGAAAGTGTAAAGAAAAATGGAATTGATCGCCTTGTTTTTTTAAATTAATATATTCAATCAACTATGAGAATTATGAGAATTTTTATTGGAGTTCAATCATATCAGAGCATTAGAATGAGTGTTTACAGTATAGTTGAATTCCGTATTTCTAATTTAATAAGCGTACACCTGAAACCATAAAAAAATTTTTTGGACAATAAAGGTTTATATAAAAAGAGTGGCTGATTAGAAAAAAAATAATGAAAATGTGCGGTATTAGGGGTTTATTCAAAACGAGATGATTGTGGCGGGATCTGTGACGTAATAAGCTCGACTAATCAGCTGTTAGTCCCATTCAGATGACACACAGCCGTCTATAATTACAAGCCATGCTGAGAAGTTTGGCAACGTTGTCCGAAAGTCAATCGGTGGGCCGATATAATTTTAATGGCGTCTTGTTGCTCTTGAAAAATTTCATTTTTCCTCTCTCCTGTGTTTCGCCTTGGTGGTTTTAATACAGAAGAAAGATACTTAAGCAGCTTACAATTGCACATATATTTTATTTATTTACAAAAATGGATAATAACATTTTTATTTGACGTTAAAATTCGGAACGCTGTAAATTGGTAACTGCATCATAATGTGTTTTCCATCGAGATCTCCGAAATTGGTGAACTTCTGTCGAAAGAGGTCGAGGTGAAGCACATGCTTGGGCACTTAATTTCGGCAAAAGGACAGTAAACCGATGTGCATCAGCGAGGTTTTATCAACGACCAGGTGTGATTCGGAATGGCAGATTTTAAGCCAGTCGGTACTCCAGTGGGTCTAGGTACGAAGCTTTTAAAGAGGGGAGCCCCGTAGACTTCAAATTCCCGTACCGTAAACTCCTGGGAATAAGTCGGAAGGTTCCTTCAGAAAATCGACTTGACATGTCCGTGCTAGAATATCTGAAATACCAACTAATAAAATAATTATTGTATTCTTTCACGATAAACACTTACCGTACTTATACGTACCACGTAGTGTGTAGGTCATATTTGAGCTTGTACAGGTACTTTGAACAAATACAAGTGCTTGTAAAGGGTCCACTAAGGAGTAGCCTGCTTTAGAGGTTATGACAATAAATCGATATATTTCGTTTAGCAACTTACCTGAATAATAATTTCTGTTCATTCCGTACGGAGTAACACAAATTGTCGCAATCTCGCTCTGTTAAAACAAGTAAAAAGTAATATTACACCCAAAACACACATAAAATACACCTGAAATCTGTAAAGTTGAATTAGGAAATCGGCCTACCATGCAGTGTTGCCATAATTCTCAGCACGGCTTGTAATTATAGACGGCTGTGGATGACATCACGATTTGGCAATATTGCAGGAGAATGACATTTGTAACCTGAATCACCTGTCACTGCAGACAGTTGTCACTTGTCGTTCACTTTCGCGTTAGATACAGTTAAACCTGCCTCTGAAAACTTCACTTTCGGACTAAAAACTTCGGTTGGGTCGAAGTACAATTTACTCATTTAAAGTGGCATCTTGGTATCCCCTAAACGCGTGGATATCAGTATCTCTATGACGCACTTTCGGCGGAAGCTTGCGCACCAATGGTGGCTTCGGTTCTTTCCAGGGTTCTTTCTTACACAAACAAAAATAGACGGCATAACTTCAAAAACCTACAAATCGTAGTTTGCAAAGATGGAAAAGGCAGAAAGCAAAAGCTTTACATACGTTTAAACACCAAATGCAAAAGGCAAAGGATTGAACGTTTCGGTTAAACTTACTTTTCGGTAAACCACCAAATACAAAAAATCCCTTCTAAATTAAGCGTATACTTTATATAAAGTTCGGCTATGCCATGGAGGAAACGTAGGAAATTCCAAGTCGGCCGCCCATTCGGTTATCTTCATAAAAAAATTACTAACTTTTTTAATTAATAACGTCCTTCCCAGGCGTCTTAAAAATACGGGATGGGTGTCAAAATTCAAGATTGTTAAGTGCGCATCTAACGGATAGAATCTCGCCTTAGTCGGACGCTGTGATCTGCAATCCATTTAACTAATTACATTTAATTATACCTATCCAAGTAATCGGAATATCCAAATTCGGCAGTCCAGTAATGCCCTGTGTGTTCCTTGGAATATAGGATCGAGCGGTGTAATCTGTTATCACGTTGATATTTTCCTTATACTGCACGACCTGATTCTCTCTCTTTTATCCTGGCAATAGAGAGCATTCGACGGCTGTTAAAACAATATTCCTACGAGAACGGGGGCAAACGGGAAAATTACATACGGTCTCTTATTTTCCTTCACGGGCGGCTCTAAAAATTAAGCCACTAATGTCTACCCTACATTTCCAGCTCCTACACAGAAATAACTATTTTCAGAACCACAATCTTCGTAACGAAGCGCCTAACTTAAAACCCTTCTTGATACCGGGTGTTCATCAGAGCTGGAAGGTACCTCAAATATAACTAACCTTCCATACTCTACCTGTCAGAGCATCGCAATGAAAAATTTTGGTCTAGATCCCCACAAAATAAATTCATTCAGAGAACATCCATTCCAACTGCAAAGAGTAATCATTATTGCAATTTGCTTATCTACATGCTGATAAGATTCTTTTCTCAGATAAAACCTGATTTTTTTAGTTCCCAAACCATGAGGTAATCCCATTTTAGTGGTTTGGATTCCTAGTTCCCGAAGACGCGTTATTTTTTTACGAAACTAGAACCAGGTATCAGGACCAACTGGAAATCTATGTTAATAAAACATTTAATGAGCGAGGATCCATACGGCACAAAGCACTTCAACTTTCTGGCGAGAATTTTATGATGATCGTATCGGTACCTACAGATAATCCATATCCTTCCAGAGCTTCGAATCTCTGGAATAACACATTTTCCTAAAATAGTTTTAAAAGCAGTGCTATGGGTAAAAAATTAATGGGAACGTTGCGAATTTGCAATTAAAGGCAGTTACATGCTATAACATTAATTCAAACGTACGAACGATCATCACGTGTGGTGTAAAGCAACGATCGCGAAAACGGGGGCACGGCATTTCTGACTAATTATTTGTTTCGTTCGATTATTTTGCCAATACTAAATGAAAGAGAATCTAGACATCAAGTAACCGACTACACTTTATGCTCCCATTAGAAAAATGAATAAAGATTAGTGATACCTTTCTATCCTTGAATCACCGTATAATTAATAGTTTATTACATTAGAGGTTGACTGTGAATTATCAGAATGTCTGATGAAGGTAGATCAATGCTACACCCTTGAACTCGACTAACATGTCGCAGCTAGAGCACGTAATGAAGGATAAACATACGTTTATGGATTGGTATGGTAAAGATTACACCCTATTTAAGGAGCGCCTGATCGTTAAATAGGTAGGTATGTGTTGAAAACACGTTACGTATTGTAGAGACTGGAAAATAGGTACGTATAATGTAGAAAGACAATTAGGATATAACCTCAGAATTATAATAAGGACCTTACACTATCAAAGCATGACTAATGCATTATCTTCATCTTTTGAAGAATTAAAGTGGACTTTAAACAAGAGCAGTAGACTTATAGTAGCCAGTCAGCCACAGTGAGATTACATCTCTTCAGCCCATTCATATTGAAGATCCAAATGTAGCATTCGATAAAAAAAAGGGTTACAGGCTATACTGTAAGACTCCACTTGTAAGTCTTTGCCTATAAGAAATTAGCTTAGTTTGAAAAATAGTAGGCTTTCCTCTCAACAAATCAGAAATCTCGTTCTGGTTGATCTAATGACATAATTATTTATTAGGAAGCGGTGATTTTTGTGAATTTCTAAACTTTCGTAACAATCTATTCCCTCTTCTGCTTAACTACAGAAATATTTTCTACTTTATGGTTAGGTACTTTGGGTGATTGTATTTAAAGTGGGCCGTGTGCCCTTTAAAAAAGATCTCTACATGGGCTGCTAAAGAGTTTCTAGGAATCTCTTTAAACATTAGTATTCCTTGGAAGGTCCCTTTAATTGCTTTTGCCTTTGTAGAATACGAAATGGATTTCCAGACGCTTAAGGCTACGGAAGCGATTCCTAAGGTTTTAAAGGAATAATTACACGGATCTCTGAGGTCGAGCCTAGAAGTGTTTGTTAAAGAGATTCGTTTTGGAATGTTATGTTTCTCCACACACATAAACCTCGACAATTTTATCATCCGCATTATCAACAGTTTTCCTGATACATCTCGGGAAATATATTCACTCTGGGCGGTTTTTTGGGGCTTCACCTTTCTCCACTAGTTCTTCAAAAGGTATCCAACCCCATCTGGACATCGCTTAGTACTCCCGGTCGTATTGGTGTTATATGCTTTTACATATTTCTAAAACTAACGCTGTTTTTCCATAAAACCCATACTACTGGATAAAACTGGATTGCCTACATTTTATTAAAAAATTGAAAAAGGCAGAGAACATAATCTTTATTTTGATTCATTTAAGCAGGACAACAAACAAATCCTCTAACGAAGCAAATTGATCTGCGAAATTGAATATTATTAAGTTTATATATGGCAAAACGAAAAATTACCTTACCACCTCATTTGGCCTACACTGACTAACACAATACCGACATCTTCGCATTGCAGTTACCGCAACCAGTACCAAACTAACTACCAACTCAGTAATCCACTTCATTTCAATAGTCTTGCGGGATCTATAAACGTTTTACCTATTAAATAACAGTCGTATCCAGTTAAGAAGTTCCAAAACGCCACTCAGGCACAACCAACCGCTTTAAACTGCTGCTACCCCTGGTAACATGGTTCTGGATGCCACTCAAATCTGTCAGAATTATCTAAACTGCCCCTTCAGTCAAATTCATTTTGATAGCATTAAAAAGGTTCAGTGTAACACTGGAGTAAATAATTATCCTTCTTTGCAGTGCAATGCAAAAATGATTGACCAAAATTTGAATGAATCGACCATTAAATGACACTACTAAAGTAATAAGCCTTACCCTAGACTGCATGTGATTAGGCGCCCCCAAATACCAAAACCAATTATCACAGAAAATGTCACGGATCGCACATTTAAGTAAGTTAACGTTAGCTTCGGTATAATAATTAGTGCATTCCAATTCCAGAATTGTCGACAATTAGTTGATACGTTATCTACTCAAACATGTACGAGTCATGTACAAAATATTGGTCAACTACGCAAATGGTTCTGGACGTTGGAAAAAGGTGGAAGCTAAAACTTTTAACACCTCATCAAAAAATTCCTCAAAAAACGGTGATTTCCCCCATTTATTTTAATTTGTTATAGTGTTACGTTATATACGTGGGATACAAAAATTCGACAGATGTTTTTACCTGTATTCAATGACAGATTGGACGCCTCCTCTGAAATAGCGAGAGAGAAAAGCCAACCTGTGACTCTCAAACCACCATCATTATATCCACCACAAATAGTACGAGCACGTCATCGCCCTCAGTGGTGACTCTCATACTCACGAGGTTCAGGTAAAGAGACAAAGGTAAGTAACAATAATACGCTTTCAGATAACAACATGAACGAAAACAGTAATAAAAGAGCCGTGCGAGATAGTAAAGGCGTGGCACTAGGCTCACGGCTTACTTTAAAAAATCTTGCTCTCTAAGATCCTAAGGCATTAATGATGCAAGCGAGTTCCTAGACGTCGTCATCAACGCAACGACTAGGGTAGGGAAGTGAACTGGAAGGTAAAGTTTTGTAGGTTCGGGTAAAGCTTACCTTCCGTTCATCTCCCTAGTCGTAGCGAACAGAGCGACAACCTGAATAAAATCATACAGACGTTATCAAACATGGTTTTCGAAGAGGACCAGGTCGATACAATTACCCAACTTGAGCTATCACGTAAGGTCCTGGAAAAGTCCGGTGTGAATGTTATGACATCGATGAGGCCCACTCCACAACTGTCACAAACGCTCTCAACCGCGAAACCTCCAATCACGATCGCCCGAGCGGCAAATATGATCCCCCAAATCACCTTGAAAGCAACGAAAAAGGTTGAAAGGTTCCACCCTGTATATACAACTTACGATGATACATACATTTTTGAGCGTTGGCAACTATGCAATTTCTAGGTGGGGAAAAGCTGCCTGCGCCACCTAGAAAGCACGAACGGGGGTTACGTTTGGCATCTTGTCTTGAATGGCGGCCGTGAACGCGTCGCTGCATAAATGTTTGTTGTTATTTTGTGCAGGTAGTAATTTTTGCATTTCTTTATATCGTATTTGTGTTTTATATGCCGCATTTAATATTTTTTTGTGTTTGAATCTTTGTGAAATTTACTTGGTTTAACCGCAATGCAGAATCACATGTGTGATACCGTTATGCTATTGTTTGTAATTGTTTACGTTTTTGGTGTAATGTTTGCTCAATTTATGTTTATTAATGTTGATTACGTCTTCGTCTTGTCCCTGAAGTAACATTCATGTAAGTTTTGATAATTTTATGTTAATATGTGGAAATTACCGATTCGTTTGAGGTATGTACTGACTTGTTGTTTGTTACTAACAATTTTCTCCGTGAATGAAGCAGTCACGGAGGTGGTAAAAAAAACTGTAGTCAAAATTGAAGTACGACACCTAATTCCGTGGTTGTCTTCAACATCCAACTGTAGGCTCGAAACCCCGAAACCAGGGGCGGGCTACCCATCTTCTTGTAGGAGTGGGATTACCCTAATCAAAGATCTTCTGTTTAGAATCTATGTGCGATAAGTGAGTGGCGATTCAATAATTTCCACATATCTTGTTTTTAGTTAAATTTGCCTACAAGGTCATGTAATTTTCCATCTTGCTTTTAACAAAAGGACTTTATTACACCAAAGATGAGTCACATCCTGTACTCTTAACCCTTTCTCAGAATTTAGGTACCTGCTCCTACCTGACCCATTGTTCCCAAAAACTTGCTTTTAACATGGAGTGTGACCAACATTGTGTAATTATATGCATTTACTATCTTTGTTAACTACTGCTTAAACTTTTACCAAATATTTTGTTAATTAATTTTTGGACTGTATTAATCAAACTGCGAGGTTTTTCTTACGTCGTGCTCTTTTTACCCGTAGCAGTTACTTTTGCTAGAGTACGACACCTTTTGGCTTTGCTTGCTTTGTTTATATTAATGTACATCAACTAAATTTCCGGGCTTTCACAATCTTAATAATTACGATCATTATTAAACAAAATTTTCACAATTTCAGTGTTTTATTTAACGTTCCTTCCCTACTGTGCTTCAGGTCAAAGCGTTGTCGACAACTAACGTAAGGGGGCCCTGTTTTATCACGTGCCACTTTTCAAATTTAAGCGGGATCTTGTTTAGTTTTGGAGGGAATAGTTATTCGGGTGGCCTTTTTTAAACGTTGCAGGGTTGACCTTATTTCCGTGTTCTTGTAGTGTGAAGTTAGTGTAGAACCTGGGGGTTAAGTACACTACAAGGTCGAAACGTTTACGATTAGGGTAAAAAAAAGAAAATACATAGCTAACCCGGATTAGGATCCGTAGCGCTGTAAAACACGGTCACATGGGCGAAGCGTTTGCGGCTATTAGAAAGCTACACGAAATACGAAATAACAACAAGCGGCACTTCAGGCTAGCCAGAAGGCAATTATTTATACAATTAAGGAACTTGGGTCACCCAAACAAAGGGTGGTACCCACGGAAGTCGAAGGTACACTCATTGAGAGTACACTAGAGCAAAATGAGGAAATATCCGAGACCTATGTCATAGAAAAGCCCCCTCTATTTAAAATAGTAGCAAAAATAAATAAATATTCTTATAAATAAGAAACTTTGCTCAGTCTGTGCATGAGCACACCTGATGTTTAAATATGAAGAATCTTTGGTTAAAATTTGAAAAAAATTACTCCATATGTAAGAAAGTTGGTATTGCTCAGTCTGCACATGCGCACATTAATCGTCAAGATTTTTTCTTGGTTGAGGTGCCAGAGCTACCGAATGCTAAAAGAACGAGAGAACTAAATATTTTAAAAACTGTAGTTAAGGCCTCGGACGGACGGACGGAGAAAGTGGCCGTAATAGTGCCTTACAACATGAGTTGGAAAATGCGCTAAAAATATTTATCTGGTGTTATGTTGCGATATCACGTCCGACGTAGAAATTGCAGGGGTTAAATGAGATTCAAAAGACCAGTAGGGGACATAACGTACAGTGGAAGGACCACTTATAGGGGAAATTAATGGAATGAAAAATATAAAGAGGGACTACGAAAAGATGAATATAAACTAAAACTTGGCTACCATTTAAAAGATGAAAAGAATTATGAAGTCCCAAGAAAATGGTAAAACCAAAGAGTAAAACTAAAATTTTAACGCTAATAATTAATAAAATAAAATCAAATGAAAACCTCTTCATGCAGAAGCTAAGGTTGATGGTATGGTAAAAATTGCACAAGAATTTTAATTCGAATATTTTGCCGTACTTTTTCCCTTATTTCACACCGCGTGGAATGACTGTATTGAAATATTTAGTTGTACCTAGAGTTGATTAATTTTAAATAAATGGGAAAGTTCCCGTTACCGAGTTGTTTGGAAAAGCATTGAATTGATAATGGAAAAGTTTCCTATAATATTTGATTAAACTCTTTAGTATAGTCGGTAGCGAATGAAAACAAAATTTTCCGCTTTCCCAGCCGGGAGGTGGCTCAATAAGGATTATATAATTTATCGAAAGCTCTTTATGGTATAGAAAAATCTGATTTATTCATAATATTCTATTTGACAGTTCTGTACTAACAGCGAAATGTATTTATTAATCTTAATATATCAAAGTCAAATTAGGAAGTTATATAGAGAATTTGCCGGAAAATTTAATACAATTAATACTAAATATTTATTAAGTTCGTTTCGGGAGAGAACCCTCATTTTGCTTTTATAGGTCAATAAAACTCATTATAGTGAGGTTCTTAGAAAGTTTCAGGAATTCATTTGAATTATAAACTTTTGTTCGCGCTTTACCTAAGGTCCCATTGTCATCCATGCAAATACCAATACGTAAATTTGTTATTTTATTAGTCTAACTCCCGGTTTTATTGAATTGTTCCCAATATTTGTACAAACATGTATTTGTCTACCTTGCTTAACCAAGTGAAGTAAGCAACTCGTAACACACTGTAACAAAAGCGTTTTCATGCATTACACGAAGGTTTTATTACAAAAAACGAAACAATTTCGTCATATTCATAGGAGAAACAATCCGAATGTTTCTTAATTGCACATACAATGATGTCTAGATTGTAGAGAGGTGCACATCAACACGCAGCAATCTTCATGGTAATGAGGAGGTGTTCGTAACGTATAATGCAAGGTGTAAAACGACTTGGGAGTGTTCCAGTCGTTATAACACAGAAATGGCTTAAGAACACGGATATTCCTAATGGGAGTAATTAATTTAAATTACGACTATACTTCTCTGCGCCTTGTGCGGTCGTCCCACTATAAAGCTTTCAAGAATCAAAATTGATTGACATCTCTTTTTCCAGCGAGGTGAAACCGTGATTAATATTTATTGCTTTTGTGAATGAGAAATTTGAGAATGCATGTCATCGCGTAACCTTCATTGGGATAGCGTAATCGATTTTGAAGTCTGTCTAAAACAATTTGAAATGACACTTCCACTCGAATATTATGAGTTTGATTTTGGGCGCGTCCGGTGAACTATTTTGGTTCCCCTTACAATGAATTATATACCATATAGCAAAGGTAAAGAGCTCGAATATGTCGGGCACAAACTTTAAAAATATTTTTTTCTTAATAGGCCATTTTCGCAATTTATCGGCGTCATATGTCTCATAATAAACGATCTATTTGCTTTCGTGACACTATATAATCCTACCATTTTTTCTCGGTTTATTATGCGCAACGAATTGAAACGCTTACCACTGATAATTGTTGAACTTGCACGCGTAGATGAATACAATAAACCGGTTAGTACAACACCGTTAAACATTAACTCATTGCACATAAATCATTAAGTAACTTCAGGTGACTCAATTTAACCAGTGTAGGTATAAATAATTCTCACTTGAGTAATGCACACTTCCACTTCTTTTGTTTCGGGTTCGTGTGTACACACCCTTATACATTTTCTTTGTATAATCGTCAAAGATCAAAATCTTTTAAATTTAGAATTAGAGTGTAAAGACAGATATTTTTCTACTAAAGGAAGTTGCAAATAAAAGTGGAATAAATTGTTGGTCACAGCTTAACTATTACGATTATGACAAATCTACTGTAAACGCAACGTTCTTTAGAAACATTACATCTGCTTATCCGTAATCGCCTCCAATTATCAGAGTGTCTCACGCTTTGAGTTAGCGTAGGGCCCTCCCCGTCCCTCGACCTCCGAACACTCTAAATAGGGTACTTACTAACCGTCGTTGAAGATAGCATGCTAAAGTTCATACCTGCAGCTCGAGATCCCCCTAACGGTTTGTGTAAGCAATGGGCCTTAGCTTTTTCGTATTTGGTCGACACCATTTGGCGGTGTGGCAAATTTTCCTGGGTGCGAATTTACGGGAGTGAGTTTTCCCCACACGCTCCACAATATCTGAATGTGCGGGTGAGCCATCAGTTGAGCAAAAACGAACATTGTGTTGAATAATGACCAAAACAAGTTTAGAAAACTTGTATTCAAAGGATGCCTCCAAGAGGGCAGTTAAGGGTTCACTTTAAGTTTCAGAATTTCCTTAAGGTAACTTGGTTTAATTCGTCGTGGCCATGGCCATGTACCATTTATTTAAGTTTGGTTATATCTAAAAGACAACAAGAATGTTCATCATCTCCAATATTTTCTGTAGAGCTTCTATTGTTCACGAGACGCTTGAATGTCTTCTTTATGGCCTACATCAACGATGAGACACCCTGTATGTGCATTTAAATTATTTATAACGTTAAAAGTCGGTTGTAATTTGAGATTGGCCACAAGATTCGATCATATTACTCTGATTCTGGGGGTGTTGTGTATCAGAATTATTAGGTGTTGAATTTGTTTAAATAATTATCGAGGATTTTATTTATTTGTTCAATTTTATTACGTGTTAAAAGACTAGACTTAAACATTTGGAAATAGTTGCGTAGGATCTGCTGTTAACAAAAGGCATTTTTGGATTCACTCTTCAATAGAAGCAAAGGAATATTGATGGAGAGTATGTTGCCTTGTATTGAAGGGACATTTTTAGCATCATAGACCGCCTCTTTGTTAACGACCGCCGATTAACTTTCGAACGCCTCCCGCGTATCAGTCGGTAACTAGCCTCGACTGCCTTATCATTCGAAAGAGGAAGGGGCATTTTTGGCATCAACTTCAAACGCCTTTTTTTGTACGAACTGCTGACATTGTCAATCTGATTGCAACATGGCACCCTCGTGCTACTCCAATACTTGCAAGCGACATCCCATTCGATCAAGTAAATCATTAACGATCTTGACATAGGTACATTATCGATTCGTCGTTTCGATCGGTCTGAAACGACGGATTCCACAAATTAATCGTACCGTATATGGGGCCCTTTACAGGATGAAAAAAATTAAGTGCAATCAATTTGTAATAGAAAATCTTCAGGAATACGCATATTTTGTTAATATTTCAAGCTCGAAAATTGCTGCCCATCCTTAAATAATGTGCAGATGAATTATGCAAAACACGTAGAGAACTACTTACTGCTATTATGGAATGTATTAGGAAACAAGTGTATAGTTGTATTTACATGATTTTTTAACGTCCAGCTCATAAAAACTGCAAATGACGTAGCTGCTTGTAGTACCCAAAGGGGTTCGAAACCCACACTTAAAAGGCTCAGATTATACCCATGAGCTGTGATGTAATTACTTACCTTTGCGGCTAATTATGCAAATTTGGAGCTAGCCTCGGAGCTAGCTAAAACACTGAAAAAATCAAACGAATATAGAAATTGGCTAGTTAGTGCATAAGTCGGCTGGCAACTCCTATTCATATGGGTTTATCTGTGCCCCAGTGTTCAACCTCAAATATTCTAAACGTGTTTTCTCAACTATGGAACTGCATGGCACCCCGTCGGAACTTAAAGAGAAAAAGGTCAAAGAGAATATGTGCCAATTTTTAACGCTTTACTCAAAAGATCGAACTTTTTTCCTAATCTCCCAGGACAGAAGTGTGTATTACGTTTACGAAGTTTTGTCGGAATGTTGTGTATTGTGCGTTTATCGCTTACTAGAGATATTCCCAGTACCAGTGAAAGGGAGTTTTTCCACCATTACATCTGAAATTACAACAAACCCAGTGCCATTTAAACCGAAATTTAAGTGGAAGCCAAGAAGTGAAGGTTTGTTTGTGTGTGTGTTTAAGGTTAAGGCAATTAAGATTTCTGTTAATTAATTTGTTCTATCGATCGCCTGTTGCGTGGTATTTGCCAATGGCAATGGGTGCCTATTTTTTTTAACCGATTTGATTGATTTATGCCGAATAAATTTGTTTCATGTTTCAGCATGTTCTATTTTGTGTTTAATCGAACCCAAATTAGGACCCAGATAAGTAAACCTATTCAAGAAAAAATGTTTAGTGGTACCCAGGTTTACGCCAGGTGGAGGTTGCTGAGTTTCTAAATTAATAAAATTGATCGAGGTTTATTTTTGGCGGATGCTGTAGGTGCCCTGCAAAAATTATAATCGTTTCGTATAAATAATAAAAATATCTCTATAAATTGACAAAGCACATTTTGTGCATGCGCACATTGATCGTTGAGATTCTTCTTAGCTCTCGTGGCAGAGCTATTAATAAGTTACCGAATGCAAAAAAAAACTAACTAAATATCTTGAAAAGTGTAGGAGTAATTACTGCCTCGGACGGACAGACGGACGGATATAGAAAGTGGCTGCAATAGCCACCCAACTACTTACCGGTGTGTACGCACAACGGATGTACGCGTAGACCAGTTGTTATATGAAATGCTACAGAAGAGTTAAGAATATAAGGATTGCCAGTTGAAAGGTATCGTGATCTCCTTAAAATGTCGTCTACTATTTTAATTAGCGCGATAGTGCAGATGTGACCTTTTGTAAAACCTGATTCTTATACGGGAAGTAGCCGGAATTTGTATACACGTTCTTTTATTTGGTTTTTATCCTTTCCAAAATTGTGAGGAAGTATAACAAAATACTAAAAAAACGAAGAAATTTTCAAGAAGCGTGACAAAATTCTAAAAAGACGAAGATAAAGGCACTCAATGCAGTCGAAATTTGATTGAGAGTAAGACTTTTACTTCAGTAAAATGCATTATATTATGCATATTGCTTATTCATGTCTTTTTTATAAAAGACCAACAAGTTTGTCCCACCCTCACTATTATCTTCATTTAAATGAAATTTCACCTTGTGATAAATGTGAATTATTATTAGGATAACTGGCACCTTTTACCACCTAAGAATAACTATAATCCATCATACATGAAGTGTTGGTAACCCTAAGAGGGCGCGTGTGACACCGTAGTAAAAAAACTTATTAGCATTTCAGAACAAAAAAATGCATTCGTTAAAATTCTAACCGTTACCTTTTCCTAGATCGCGCATTTGGAGGTCTTTTCACATAATTTAGCTGCAAAAAAAGGTGGGTGCACATTCGAAGGAACCAGGAATTAAGTAAATCACCTCCAAGCCTTGAGACGATTGAGATTTTTTGAAAAAATGAAAAATTAGTCACGAACAACCTATAACCTTGACCTACCGATGAAAGTGAGAATGAAGGAATAGTCATCTTTTGCGTTAAGACATCTTGAGTGACGCAAACAATTTGTGGATCACGTTTTTTAGGAAGCACGTTGCAAATTGCAAGTGCGTTGACTGTATACATGTGGCATTGACTGTTTTCGTAATATAATAAATAAGTACTAGAAAGTGTTGGGCAATTTCTTTGTTCAATATGAATAGGGATACCGTTAAACGTAAAGAAGTTCACCTTACTTCTATATGCAATAAACCGTGACTATTACCCTTGTCAAAAATTCTAATTCCGCTTTTTACTTATTCGGTGCATCTGACACGTCATTGGAATCACACCTTTGATTTCTTGTGCATTTTTTTCATTTTTAACTTTAACCCTGACACAATAATACGTTGGTTTGGAATGTGTAATTTCAGATATGGCAATTAAAATGGGATCGGTTGGAGCTTTTTTTAATTATGAAAGGTAACTGATTCTGCATCGAGACTGATTTTGAACAATTAAAAGTGTGCTGCACGTAAGTTCTGCATCAACCTTCACTTTATTAACTAACTTGAAACTTTGTTTTTTTTAACGTGAGGTAAGTCTTCATTTATCTTCAGCACTACTACGGCCGTTTTACATTTCACATTTAGAACTAAGTAAGTAGTTATGGGTTGCTTTAAAACTGCACTAACTGGCGTCCTGGTTTTTGTTGTGATGACTTTGCTGGAAAAACTGAGACTGGGAAGCATAATCGGTTGCTTCATTCATGGGGATCGATTCGATTATGCAAAAATCTTTGCTGGAGAACAATATCTGTTACTGTTACGAGTTGACCTAGAGAGGAAGTCGTTGCGGGATTGGGCGCCTCTTGGTTCAACTCTTGGAAGGCGTGAAGCCTTCAGTTAGTTAGTGGACTTCAAGACGACCACTACTCCTTCGGCTGGTGCCTCCCCGTCCTCCGCGTTCACGAACTATTATTACGATCTTGTAAGTACTCTTTGACCCTTATTGTTTCCCACTTCCTACTACATCCTGCTTTATTTACTACTATTGGCGACGATTAACAAGGTAACGAGAAAGTTCGCATTGCTTTCGGAGATATCGATGCGCGGTCAAGAAGTATTCCGGAAGCATTTATCTCGCGGTTGGTGTGTGATCTCAAGCAAGGTTTATGTGCATTAAAATTTTTTTTTGCACACAGGAATGCAGTGCTTGTGTATTTTAAGACGCGTATGCCTGAAAGTGTCGACAATTGCAATTGCGAAATGCAAACAGGGTAGTGAGGAAGCTAAAACTATTCTAGTCACGGTCCACTTTCCATCCTCCGTTCCATCTGTCGTCGGCTTTAGTTGTCATAGCAGTTTCGCTACGTGTTGTCACGCCATCCCTTCGCATCATTCGTTCTTATCGATGTTTTCCACAAATATTTCTGCGCCTTGAGTTCGGTCTAAACCCTCGTATCAATAAGTGATTATTATTACGCCTCGGGCAATATTTGTGAATTTCTACTACCTAATGACTTGCGATAATCTGTCAATTTACGAAATTACCGGAAACGTTTTTTCCTCGCTTCCATGATTTACCCATAAGGCGTAACTTTTTGAATTTTAAATTGTAAGCGAAACCGAAAGTTTTGGCTTGCAAACGCACTTTAATTAGCAATATAATGTTCATACGTATTTAATTAGAAGTTAAACTTTCACGTATTTATGTAATAATAATACAACAAATATGGGAATATAGATTAGCAAATTTATTATATTCACACTACTGCAATGATTCCCAGCCCAGTGAAATAATTCATAAGGACACGCAATGCACAACTGGGGGTGTACGGATCATCGCTTAAATTGTGTAATTGTTAGGACGGTGAACCGATTGCCATTTTGTAATAAAAAACCATTTATTATTGAGTCTAATTTGTTAGCAAATTAGCTTTGAAAGGCAAATTGTTCATTAATTTCACCGAGAAATAACATTTATTTACATTTCTTGGCTTCCTTCCTTTTTATTAGGTAATTTATGAGTTGCTCTTCACTTAAACTTAAGGACTTCTTGCATTTGTTTATTCCCGCAGTCGAGTTCCCAAGGATGGTAATTACTTAGTGCACTACCACAGGAGATAAAAGTCAAAAATTGGAATGCGAGAATCTTTGGGACCAATTTGGGCCAGTGTAGTCGCGATTAAACTTCGATGAATGAGTTTTGTATACTGTGAAAGTCATGAATAGTAATTTCAACCTTGCACGGTGAAGGTGTGCCTTTTGCAAGAAAGTCACATTATTTATAAACGAATTCATTTGCCTAACATCAATTATTAATGTGTGACCATCGAGCCATTCGTTGTCAAATTTTGGCATTTTACTTCCAGAAATCGCCAATTATTAACTTTCAAACGCTTCACGTTTCCCTCATGCATAAATCACTTGTAGGTCAACGATATTTAAATAACAGAAATATTATTTCAAGATCAAGTTCAAAGTCAGCAATGATCCGATGCCGTTATAATTACAATAATGTATTATATATATTTCACTTAGTTTAGTACCCCAAATTTATGCAAATAAAAATACTAAATTGTTTGGCGATTAGATTTCTCGTTATCTATTTTGTAATGATATTTACAATACCTGCTTGTTCGCCAACCTTAAATTTTGTTTAGTTCGGGAACCTGAAGTATTGTGATTTCGAAACCACTCTGTGAAAGGTTATTTAAAAATTTTATTTCATACATGTCAAAATTGATATTATCATCATTCTTTGTAGAATTACAGGCAAGACGACCTATACAATTATCTAGGCGAAATGCCAGTAGTCCATAACTTTCGATTGAGAAGTCTAAACGAAAAAGTACGAATTGTTTTGGATTTTACGCACCAAAATTAATAAGAAAAAGTGTTTTCCCGAGAAATTTTGGTGCAGTTGATTTTTGGTAAAAAAGGAAGGTTGTACACTGCGTTTTTTTGAGGCCCGAAAAAAAATTGTCCTAGATCGACCGGGAAAAAAATTTTTCTTATAGAATCTGACCTGTAGAATCCGTAATTTCAAACAGTTCCAAGATTGGGATACGAGTTCAAAAGATACAGCCCTTTGAATTTTCTTTCAAAATTGGTTTCTAGTTCATAACCTCGTCCGACGCGACGTCCATAACTTTTGATTGCGAAGTCTAATCGAAAAAGTACGAATTGTTTTGGATTCTACACACCAAAATTAATAAGAAAAAGTCTTCTCCCGAGAAATTTTGGTGTAGTCGATTTTTGGTAAAAAAGGAAGGTTATACACTGCCTTTTTTTGAGGCCCGAAAAAGAATTGTCTCGGATCGACCCGGAAAAATAATTCTCTTGTAGAATGTGGCCTGTAGAATCCACAATTTCAAACAGTTCCAAGATTGGGCTACTAGTTCAAAAGTTACAGCCCTTTGAATTTTCTTTCGAAATTGGTTTCTAGTCTACAACTTTTGATTGAGAAGTCTGATCGAAAAAGTACGAATTGTTTTGGATTCTACGCACCAAAATTAATAAGAAAAAGTGTTTTTCCGAGAAATTTTGGTGCAGTCGATTTTTGGTAAAAAAGGAAGGTTATACACTGTCTTTTTTTGAGCCCCGAAAAAAAAATTCTCTCGGATCGACCCGGAAAAAAATTTTCTTATAGAATGTGGCCTGTAGAATCCATAATTTCAAACAGTTCCAAGATTGGGCTACTAGTTCCAAAGTTACAGCCCTTTGAATTTTCTTTCGAAATTGGTTTCTAGTCTATAACTTTTGATTGAGAAGTCTAATCGAAAAAGTACCAATTGTTTTGGATTCTACGCACCAAAATTAATAAGAAAAAGTGTTTTCCCGAGAAATTTTGGTGTAGTCGATTTTGGTAAAAAAGGAAGGTTATACACTGCCTTTTTCTAAGGCCCGAAGAAAAAATTGTCTCAGATCGACCGGGAAAAAATAATTTTCTTATAGAATGTGGCCTGTAGAATCCATAAATTCAAACAGTTCCAAGATTGGGCTACTAGTTCAAAAGTTACAGCCCTTTGAATTTTCTTTCGAAATTGGTTTCTAGTCCATAACTTTTGATTGAGAAGTCCAATCGAAAAAGTACGAATTGTTTTGGATTCTACGCACCAAAATTAATAAGAAAAAGTGTTTTCCCGAGAAATTTTGGTGCAGTCGATTTTTGGTAAAAAAGGAAGGTTATACACTGCCCTTTTTTGAGCCCCGAAAAAAAAATTGTCTCAGATCGACCCGGAAAAAAAATTTTCTTATAGAATGTGGCCTGTAGAATCCATAATTTCAAACAGTTCCAAAATTGGGCTACTAGTTCAAAAGTTACAGCCCTTTGAATTTTCTTTCGAAATTGGTTTCTAGTCCATAACTCTTGATTGAGAAGTCTAATTGACAAAGTACGAATTGTTTTGGATTCTACGCACCAAAATTAATAAGAGAAAGTGTTTTCCCGAGAAATTTTGGTGTATTCGATTTTTGGTAAAAAAGGAAGGTTAAGTATTCAAATACTATGCGAAGTATTCGAATACTTTACGAAGTATCCAACTACTTTGCGAAGTATTCGAATACTAAATATTTGTGAAAGTATTTGAGTTACAAATACAAATACTGCTTCCATAAAAGTATTTAATTACAAAGTATTTGAATACTTCAAAGGATGTGAATACTATAAAAAGTATTTACAAAATTGAATACTGCCCAGCTCTGAAATGACATGGGTAAACGGTAAATCGGTCATTTCTTTTCCGGGTTTCCGGGTTATTAACTGTACACATCGAGATAAAGACTCGTACCATTCGATCTTTTAACAACAAAGAAATTTTACAAATCAATTGGTAGTAGTGACTGGTATTTATGGAAATAGCGAATGCGATCGATGCACCACGCCACCACAACTCGCATTTAAATATGATAGATAGCGACCACCACCTAAAGAAGCCTCTTATTTAAAGGATCTCCTCTCTTCCACATTAAAAAATCTCTTTCTTTAAGATTTCGTAAACAAACAGCCAATCAAAACCAAATTGGATTAACGCCAGCTTCGAATAAACTGCACGCCTGTTGTTTTCTTATCTGGCATAACACGTGCTTATCTAGAAACTAATCAAATTTCAACTTACGCAACGCGATAATCGCAACCTGAGAAACCTTTTAACAAAACGCTCAAATACGACCAAATGTTCCTACCTTTTAACGGGAGTTAACAACAGGTAATTCTGCTTTTACAATTAAATAAGCAAACGTTGAACTTCAAATTAAAGAAAAACGAACTCCGCGTTTAAATGAAAGCTCTCGACCAAATGCAATTGATTTTTTTCAATACGTGGTGATCCACTATTATTAATACATGTGCTGAGTCGCATGGCGTTGTTTACACAACAACATATGTATTAGTGATTTATAGGGTAATGAGTGTACAAAAATTAATAATCAACAAATTACTGATGAAGGTGAAGGTGAAACACAAATTTTACTTTTTTATATGCAGATAAATACCTCCCGCAATGAATTTTATTACTGATGTTTTAAACACAGATTTATAAAAAATGTTATGCCGAGGATTTTCTAATTCCTATACTTGGGGGATACCTTAATGCACTATAGCATAAAACCACAATAAAAATGTTAGTGGCAACTTTACCCTCATTTACAGACGGACTAAACTGAAAAATCTCGTTGGGAGCTTGCGTGGAAGGATCCAGACGGCCCTTTACAGCAACGGGCGAAAGTTAGATCATAAGCATAATCATATCTTAATAACAATTTACGAAGGAGGAATTAACCTACAGATCCATTTCAAGGATTGATCTCATATTAAATTACATTAAAACCGTAGCTAAGACCCGAGAAATATAATCGGATTACCGAGTTGGTGTCTTTAATTATTAACCAATTATACACTTTGATAGGTGACCGTTAAAGTAATTCATGCAGAAATTACCAGTAAATCATTTCTCTAACGGCATACTTTTTGAGAAAATCCGGTTT